GCCTGCTTTTCATGAACATACTGATTCGAATCAATCTGCTTGGAAAGGACAGAAGAAGTACCTTTAATGCTGTTGTTGTCATGTATTACGATATAAATATGTTTCGTGTGTATTTGTAGGCTGTACGTCTAACTCTGACCATATTTAAAGATAACTAACATTAAACAATTCCCCTAGCGTTGACATCGGTAGCAAGATAGTCAGTCAAGTGTCTGTGTTTTTACTTTCTACAAAAAAGGAGGAGTGTTCTGCATCTTAATTGAATGCAGCTGGCTGTGGACAAACATCAAGAACCTTTTTGACAACTGGGGATTTTAGTTTATCAGACGCTAACTTTACTTGTATATCTTCCTGTAAAACCAGACACAGATGCATTGGAATACTTAAATGGGAGCAAAATAATAAAAGCTATACAATACTGCACTAAGCACATGCTACGCTTTAAACAAGTTGTACTAGCTGACTTCATCTTGAACTGATATTCATGAACTCGTTCCAAAGCATCGTTCTTCAAAACAATAGATTCGTTTATTTACTTATTCTACATTTTAGACTAAAGTTGTTACTACTTTTTTCATTTAGAATGCAACAGGAGTGAGCCTTCACAGATACTGCAAACTGTTTCGTCGTTTGAACTTTGACCAAATGAGACTGTTTACAGATGACTCAACTAACAACAGCTCCCCAAAAAATCAGGTGCCTGGGTCTAAATACTTTCAAAACCATTACTGGTATCCATAACTACTGGGCACTTGGTGTTAGTTTGACTCGTTGATGGCGTAAGGTTGTCCACAATACTGAAGATAATAAACCGGAGACCGATTCTTTTCATGGCGCCCAATAACGCAAAACGACTGTTAGAATCCCATGTGGCAGCAAGACTTGTTTTTAGCTAAAAAAAATATATATTCGGCTTTCAATATCTAAAGAACAATGCACAAAACGAATAAACATTTTATAACATAAGACTAGCGATTATGACTGAAAAAATAGATTGACCAGAGTATCAGCAACAAAAACCCAGAAAACAAAGATGAATGAAAGAGGATTTACGCCAACATTTGGAGTATTACATTGGCAACGGCATTTTAGAACATTAAATTATGTAGCTAAACTAAAGAAATAGCGAAAGAAAAACACTGGACGAAGAAGTCCGACCGCCAATGCTTACAAAGATAGTGTATGGAGATTCACGCTCCATTCTGATTGGACGCTAAGCAAACTGCCACGATTACGAAGTCGCGTTGAGTTTATTTGCATCCATTTAATAATGAGAGGTAGCAGCTGTTTAATAGCTTGTTGAAAGCTTGAATATGACTGAATGCTAACGTTTAGTGCGGCATAAGCAACGTGGTAGGGTAAATGTAGAACTCAGTAGAACCTTTTGAAAGCTTTTTGTCTGTCATATGTAGTTGTTGCACCATGTCAGCGATGTGCCTCCTATAGGTAACTCCAAATACACACCTCAAGGTGATAGACAACTTCATCAAGATTGATGATTCCTTGGTTATGCACTTGACGTACTTCCAGGCTACTACGCCTTTCATTCCTGTTTATCGCTCATTGCAAAACAAAGGCATCCCGAGTATTGCTAGCTCCTGGTTCGTAAACTGAGATTTCCACACACACATAATACTATCAGATGAGCGTTGTTAGCATTACTGAGTTCACGCAGCTCGTCCTTACATAAGCACTTTATTCATTCAGTTTGATACGCGTGAGCTTCCCCGTCATGTTTGATTGCATGATCCTTGTGTAAATGAACTGGTAGCTTACCTACACTGGGTTTTCAATGTTGGTAGCTTCTATTCCTTCCACGTTTCTTTGTGACCTAGGCAGTCCATAAGAGGACTGGTGAGCTCCAATTCGCCTTTATATTTGATTCTGGTGTCATGTGGCATATCTGAATGGATATGGATACCAGTTGGCAACTGGCGTCTGATTGTATGAAATTCTCTGTGAGTTGCAGCTGTGGTCTAGAATCTCTGTGCTTCTTGGCATCACAGAGTATGCTGTCACTTTTATCCTGCAGACAAGCGGAATGTCAGCGATGTGTTTAAGTTTCATAGAGAACCGTGATTGTTTTTCACGGTTTTCGGGTACGTTCAGGTCGAGGACCTTGTTGTTTGTGGTTGAAGGGTGTTTCAGATTCTTGCGCTCTTCGCTGACTGTTTGAACAGTCTCAGGAGTAGACTGTACGGCCAAATCACCTGTCAGTTTTACTAAAATAACTGAAATGCTCAACTTCTTAGACGATGACACCCGGTTCGTTTTAACTTTGTTGACGGAGATCCCATCAAGTACAGAGTTCCTGTAGACTGTTGCATTCAGTGATACTATTCTGTAAGACCCAAGTTTGCTGATTGAGTTCCGTACCATAGATGTCATGATGGTCCTAAACTTCAGTACGTCCTCTCAAGTGTCATCGCATGCTCCGTTGATACTAAAATAGCAGAGGTCCATCTTCTTCTCTTCGCTGTGTTTCTTTGAACCGTTTCTTTCAACCGTTTTATAACTTCCTTTTTCAGGTTTTCTAGTGACCTATTCCGCAGATTTGTCAAGAGAATGAGGATGCTGCTCAACGAAAACTCAGCACATATGTTGAACGTGCCACGTACTCAATTACGTTCCAACTTACTAAGTCTGTTGTGAGCAGTTACTTAAGATCTGCGCATACTTCGTGGAACCAACCTTTGCAATTTTCACACTGCATGACAGAAGTAACAGCAAAAACGTCATCTGAGTCGCTTGCACGAAATCTTCAACACTAAGATGGTGTAAATATTTAAGCAGATAATAGCAAACGTCTACGTCCGTAAAACAAAAACAACACACAAAATATAGATAAAATGTATAGAAGTGGGTGGTATAAAAGGTTGGGATACACTAAATCTACATTTGACATTAAAAAAACTGGAGTGTATGCTGAGATTCAAACATAGTTAACTATTAAGTTTAATAAAACTCAAAAGGAAAATGCATCCACCTAACTCAGAGGCCAGAACAAATTCGTTGAATCAAAAATGGTACCTTTGTTGCTCAAGGACACAGCAAAATCCAGAGAAATGCAAATCACAATGGGACTATATGTGCAATTGTAAAGCGCGCGTTGTCAAGCTCTGAATATCTATGGGATTTTTGCCTTTCATACCAACTTTCATATACTCAGATCCTTATCCGAAGAAAATGAAGGCTCACCAAGTATAAGATTCTTCTATTTCTTTCTTTAATCATTCTAGTAATTATAATTTCGATAAAATTATTTTGATTTCCGTTTTCAAAGGAAGAAGTTGGTTGTAAAATGTTTGGCTTTTGGATCAACAAAGACATCACAGAAGTCTATCTTTGCACTGCTGAAATCATGATACGAGCATGAGTTTATAAACACTAGCTTTTCGGAATGATATTGAATGTTGGATACCAACCTTGAAAGTGATCTCACGGCAATACAACAGTCAATAATTTGAGTTTTTTGATTTGATTTGTCGAAGTGTTCAGAGGATATTAGGTGTTAAGTCTATATATTTAATGTATTATAAATCGTTTTTCATCCTGTGCAGTTTGCTCTCTAAAAGCATTACAATGCCAGTAATTTTTTAGACTTATATCAATCCATAAGTTACAAATTCGCATTATTCAATAACTGTTTGCAAGTAATCATGGTGGTTTGTCTTTCGGACTTTATATGAGGCATTCTCAAAGCTAGTTGTATAAATGCGATTCAATTCTTGATAAATAATATTCTTATATTAATAGTATCAAAGTGGTTTACCACTATACATTTATCATTGGTTCTATTTTTGCAGCACCTTGGTCCACGGTGAATGTATCTACACACCTATTTATGTTAATGCAATTTTGTTAATTGACGTGTGTTGTATTTTAGTTGTTCGGATTGGCTCACCTTGTTACCCTATACTTGTATATATATATATATTGTGCAGTTTGTTACTCAACTTGAATGTCGATCATGGATTGTATGAATTGGGTAGATTGTTCATCTCCAGTAGTGCAAAAGTCTGCGAATGACTTGAGAGAATATAAAGTGATGCGTTTATGCAATAGGATGAAAGAGCTTCTTATTATAACTTGTCAGTGTTTCAGTAAAGCTGTTTCGTTATTAATCGATGTTAGTAAATGGATCATTATACATTGTTGCATTGTACAATACAGTACCGTTGCGTCATCTCGATTAGAGGGTTAAGTATTTGCAAAATTATCACGAAGGCAAGTCAAGTTGCCCAAAACACATTCAGACAAACATCTGCGTCTTGTTAATTTTGTCAGCTAATTTGGTTTTGAAAGTGTCAGATATGCAAGTTAGTTTGGAATTATTTGGAATGTAAGTAAGAACGTGATGTTGAATAGGAAGTAGAGTGAAACTGGTATGTTTGAATTTGACCCAATCGCTCAGTGTACAACCGAAGTCCATGTAGATTACTGCATAGCTACTGTTAGTTGAAATATGTTCAATCGTGTGCTATGACCATGGTATCTAAGAGCTTGTTGCTTCCACTAAGTTGGGTTTGTAGATTAGCTACTGTGTATTAAAAACACAGGCTTTGTTGTGTATAGTTTGTGCAGTGTTTGACTTCCTTGAAACTGATCGTATCTCGGTATAGACACCTAAAATTACTGTTTAAGATCTGTCTTATGTGCTGTGATTTTTACTTTAGTGATTAAAAGACAATCATTTATATTCAGTACATTCCTTCATCACCTGTTATTCACTATGGTGTGTAATTATTGTTTCTTAAGCGAAGTACCAGTCGTTTAAATGTGAATCCAGTGGAGAATCGAAGCGGTTTGCCACCATACTACATTCATCAATGGTTCTATTTTTGCAGCACCTTAGTTCACGGTGGATGTATCTACACACCTATTTATGTTAATGCAATTTTGTTAATTGACGTGTGTTGTATTTTAGTTGTTCGGATTGGCTCACCTTGTTACCCTATACTTGTATATATATATATTGTGCAGTTTGTTACTCAACTTGAATGTCGATCATGGATTGTATGAATTGGGTAGATTGTTCATCTCCAGTAGTGCAAAAGTCTGCGAATGACTTGAGAGAATATAAAGTGATGCGTTTATGCAATAGGATGAAAGTGCTTCTTATAAGTGATCCTGAAACAGATAAATCTGCAGTGTGTTTATCTGTGAACATTGGTATGTTGATGATGGTTGTTGCAGTGTTATAATTCTAGGTTCGCTGTCGGATCCGAAAGAACTGCCTGGTCTCGCACACTTCTGTGAGCATATGTTGTTTCTTGGTACGAAATCATTTCCAACAGAAAATACCTATTTGAAGTACATAACTGATCATGGTGGTCACTGTAATGCTTTCACGAGTCCAGACAAAACTTCTTATGTGTTTGATGTTGCACCTGAAAGTTTGAAAGGAGCATTGGACATTTTCTCACAGTTTTTCATCTGCCCTCTTTTCACAGATTCTGCAACAGAACGTGAGGTTAGTTTTAATTTTGTTACTGTACATGTCAAGCGTTTGTTTGTTTGTTGTGAATGGAACGTGGTTTTTATGCTAGGACAATGATTTTCGTCTTAGTGCGTACGTCTTTTCAAAGAAATGTTTGATGCGACTGAGAGTATCTATCAGTTGTTGAATTAATTAGGTGCAAAATCATAAAAATTCAGGTGTTTTCAAATATCATAGCCCGATCATGGATATGTTATGTGTTGAGTTTTACCCTTGAGAATTGATGAACACCACCTATAATTTTACAGTGAACAATGATTTTACATGATTTTGATTCATGTTATGAACATGTGGGCCACCGAATAAGTAATGCAGTTGTTAGGAAACGGGTGCTAAATAAGGATAGCAAATCAATTGATGAAGTAGTGAAACTTCGTTAGTTAAGGTGGTTGGGACACGTGTTACGTATGCTCAACCTCCGGCTATGTTTTTATGGTGTAGGAGTAGGCTGAAAGCTTGGGGCGGCCAGACCAAAACATGGCACAAATGCATTAAGTCACCGGCAAGTGGACTGAGCCATGTTGGTAGGTGTAGACAACCTGGTTGGAATCAGCGAGATAATAGAAACTGATGGTTAGAGACGTTGAATGACATGGTTCAAAATCGTTTGCAATGGCGTAGGTGCATCCACTCTTGATGTTCTCCCGAATTCTAATCTTCCGAATTCTTCATGTCCTTTTTTTCTCTTTCTGAATTTATTTCACTGGATTATACTCCTTGAATAACATCTTCAAACCCTAATGTTTCTGATTACTGCTTATAATTTTACTACCTCTACCACTATGGGATTTGAATCGACAACTGCATCTGTGTGCTAATGTGGTATGTCAACTGAAACTGATGTACGTACGTCCGACGTTCTACGTTGTTACTGACTGACTATGAATATGTGTCAACTGCATTTCACGAGTCGAATCAGAAGATTTGTGGTAGTTATAGAGCATTTTCTGGAGTGATGCATTAAATGTCCTGCTTCGGTCTGGGCACCCGAGTAGTATCACAGCCCATATACAAATCAAGTGACTTGTGTGGCGCATATGTATTCAGTGCCCCTTTGTACCAATATTTATGTGTTCAAATAACAAACACTAAATGTATTAAAACTGGTTTTATAGGACTTTGTTTATTGAAAATTGCTATCTACTATGTGTGTACAGAATGGTGTTGTAGGTTGTCTTATTTCTTACTCTATTGAGTACATCTTTCTCCGTTCGAGAATGAGATTATGTGTAGAGTATTGTAATCTGCAGCACGTGTAGATGATGTGCCTCTTCCATTAAGTTCAAAGTTGTAATCGCAATGCAGGAGACCGATAGCTGCTGCTGTCTCACTGCAGTACATCTGCAACCACAGCGACCGACGAGCTAAATGCAGAAATTAAGATAGTCTCATCAGAAAGTTTCGTGTTGTGTTTATGCAAGATAACCCAGGGTACAACTGTCTTGTATATATAGATCATAAGTGATATTGAGAGAAGTAAGATAAACATATTTAAAGGGTAAGCAACTAACGAAAGAGTAGCTATAGTCGTAATTGAGTTCCAGGTTACATTTTCGAGACCCCGTTTATTCACCTAATTGTAGGTAGCTTGATGGTATCTCTCGTTTGCAGACACTAGCTGGTTATTATAATGTATATATTATGCAACTTTGTTCTAAATAAGACTTTATTTCATGACGAAGGTAAAGTCATTCGACTTCATGAAGAATTATTTTTGTGATTATTTCATCCATTATTGTGAAATGTGATAGTTGGATGCCTTCTACTGCTTGAGATTTTGTGTTTGTGTGAGTAATTTTGTCTCAACGAAAACAGTTATGGCAAAGCATCAGTGTGTGCCTATCCAAGTCACGGTGTTAGTGTATAAGTGATGTCAATCAGAGAATAAAGCCTACGATTACAGATAACGGTGCCAAGAGTATATTGAAGCTCGAGTGAGAATAGGGGATATAAGTGAAAGCAAAATGTAATTTAACTTTGAGGATCCGAAAATGGAAATTCATTTGAGTTGTGGTAGCACATTGCGAAACTGATCACTGATATTATTTTATTCGTACATCTTGGTTGAATGATGATCGTTAAACAATTGGTTTTAATGCGAATGCGGTATTAGAATTTGAATTTTGTAGATGACTGAGGACATTTCCTGGACTTTTTCAACGTGCTCGTATCACTTTTCCCTGTTCTTAGATAATGGTTGTTAAAATGTGTACTCCCATACCTGATATCATCATCACTATATTTGTAAATAGAAGAGACTTGATTGTGTTTTCTTCCCCTCCTGTCAGCTTGACAATAGGTTTTGTCTAAACCAAAGTGTTGCGTTTCGAATTATCGGGAGTCCTGCACTTGTTTTCTGTGGTGATCGATTTGGAGTTTATTAGCTACTTTATTTAAAACACTTAGTAATACTCGTTGGTTCAGTCAATTATACTTGTTTGGTGGTACTGGTACCAAATGACAGCGTCACAGATAATTCATGATAATAATTTTACTGTTTAACTACCACTAACAAGCCAAGTTTTAATTTTAGGTGAGTGCTGTACAGTCGGAACATGAGAAGGACATTAGTAATGATACTAGACGTCTTTTTCAGCTAGAGCGAAGCTTGTCAAAAAGTGGTCATGATTATACGAAATTCTTCTCCGGTAACCGATACTCTTTATTTGAGTCCAGTTGTGCACAATCGGTGAATACACGCGAAAAGTTGTTGCAATTCTATTCAACATGGTATTCGTCAAATGTGATGGGACTAGTTATTCTTGGAAGAGGTACATAACATGTAATATTGTTGAATTGAGATTGGTTGATGGGACTGCTGAATTTTGAGATGTACATTTCTTTTAAATAATCGATGTAACTAAACCATTTTATACTGTTCAGCTTTCTCAACAGAAATCGAACACAATCATTTTACTTTAATTGTGATCTGTGGATTACAGGCAACAAAACATGGTAGTGATGATGGTTTCAGTGTATTGGAATCGATTACCTACAATTATGAGTTGGTGATAAGATTGAATATTTTCAAGTCGTTTGTACAGATAGTGATAGTTAGTGTGTCAATGTATGTAGAGTTGAGAGGATTTGGAGAGCAGGTTATTCAGTTGATAAGAACCATCCATACTTTTCATCACGATACTAAGTAATATTCGCTTCCATCGGACGACTCTGGAAATGTTATCATACTAATTGTTTTTGACATGTTGTCTCTTGATTGATCATTAGGTCAAGATGTCAGACTAATATTCATTCTGTGTTATTCTGTTCATATATTATTTGAGGCGTCCATCTTACGTGTTGGTGTTTGATGCATTGGGAAGGGAAATCAAGGTATTACCATGTAAACTCATAAGCTACTCAACAATCAGATTGCCTTTAACAGCTATTATGTCTGGATTATTTTGTTTTTGGTGGCTAATAATGATTCATGGAAAGTACTAGCTGGTGAGGAGGAGAACCAGTGTAGAACGAAGCGTATAGCAACTACAAAATTGTGTTCGATTAATATTCCGTTCATGTCATGTTAAATTTAATATTTCTTGGTGTCTGTATTTGTTGCACATGATGTTTTATTGAACGTCTGTCTTGGAGTGTAAGAGTATGGAAGATTTCGCAGGTCATCTTTAACGGTGATTCTGTTGATTGGTATTGTATATCCATTCCTGTGGAAATACTTTCAACGACTTATGTTTGTTTTGTATGTCTTTGCATTCAGTCGTTGACTGAATTTTGGATAATCATCCTTACATTTGTTTTCGTGAAACATGTAATTTGTATTTTGTCGTTTAATTGAAATTGGCTTTAAATAGTAGGTGTGATCAGTATTTACGTTTTCTTTGTGTTTGTGATTGTGTTTTATGAAATGTTTTCAGAATCCATAAATGACCTACAGAAACTTGCCGAAGATAAGTTTTCGGAAGTTATTGATCGTGAAGTTGTGCAACCATCATGGGACGATACTCCATGGCCTGATATATGTCTCAAGGTAACACTTTCATTTGACTTTTGTTGTATTTAATATGTTTTCTGAGTAAAATATGCATATTTGATTGTTGCGTATGTATTTGGTCTAGCAGATAATTAGTTGATTGCAAAACGTGTTTAAGTTCATATTCTTGATGGTCACTAATTGTGTTGTTTGGATGCGGCGTTTTTCACAGTTAGAGAAGGTTACTGCAAATTAGATGTTGATTCATTAAGAAGAACCGTGAAGCAGGTTATGTGGTAATGTAAATAATACTGAGAAACAGTTTTGTGAAGATAGTTTTTGGGTGAGCAACGTGATTGTTGGTTGTCTGTAGTATGATGAGCACGTAGAATGTGAAGATGGATACATTGAAATAGGTGTAGCAGAGAATAATGGCTAAGTAGTAATATTGCTTGAAGTGAAAGGGTGTGGTAAATAGTAACATGATTATTGTCTATTAATAAAGGTATGCTGAAAATGAATTCAATGGTTCCTTTCCAAGACTCTTGTTTTACCTGAGACTCAAACGTATGAAAATAACAGTTGGTATTTATTGAGCATTATAGTTTCCAAGTTGGTCATATGGAACAACGATGATTTGAATTTTGTTTTTGTCGATGTGAGCATATTGAGTGATATTAGTAGTTTGGTTATTGATGAGTCTTTAGTTTATGGATTGTCTCGTGTGAAGTTAGACTTTATCTTATGTCAAATTTGTATCAGAGGCATCAATACAGTGTAATACTACTAGGCATTGCCGGTGATTATTGAGAATAAAATGACTGAGTAGTGCCAATCACATTTCAGTTAGTGTTCTGTTCATTAATAAAGTCATGCATTTTGAATTAAAAAAAATTAGTATTTGTATGTGCTAGAATGTGTATTGCTAAATTATCCACCTGGAGAATCGGAGTCATACTGTCACTGTGATTGTAAACTGCGAATGGAACCAATGATTTTTTTCCTTGAACTGTGTAATGTTTATCAAAATATGAATAATTTTTATTTCCGTAAATTAGAGATTTAAGTTAGAATAAATGTGCATTTTGGTTTTATCACAGAAAATGGTATATGTCGTCCCACTGAACGATATCCATCAAATGAATATAATGTGGCCTATTCCTGACTATATTCCAGACTATACAACTCAAGTAAGTTATTCATTTGAAGTGGATTGATCAGTTATGCACAAATGCAGATTCATTGTTCTTTGTATATTTTGCTGTATATTGTTTCCAAATGTTGACGTGTGTCGATCAGTTTTTACACTTCCTTATAATCGAGAATGATTTGCATCAGTAGTTTTAACATATGTGTTTTTGACTGATAAAAGTTTGGTTCTGTGGTTAAGTGAAAAATATAGGACACTGAGTCCTGTCTCAATTATTTGGAATATATCATTGTCTACTAGAGACTTGAAAATCCTCGGCACAATTTCGTATGCAGTCATTCTAGGCTATTGCTAAATAGATATAAATTAGGAGTTAATAGCATTTTGATATCTCTTAGTTTTAAATAGTTTCTCATCTGATATCAGTCGCAGATAAAACCTACCCTCAAATGGAATAGGTTTCTGAAAATTTCTATCTCCATTTCAATTATTTATGTGATTATTCAACTCATATGTTTACAGGCCACTAATTATGTGACTTATTTACTTGGTCATGAAAGTCGTGGAAGTTTACTCAGTTTATTCAAAAATGCAGGCTGGGCTAATCAACTTACATGTGATGTTAATAGACATGGAGCTGGAATTTGCTATCTCATTATGTTCGTTCATTTAACTATGAAAGGACTTGGTGAGTTAATTACTGGTTAGATTTCTTATTTCCTAACATTATTGAGAATACCTGTATATGGTTTATGTATATAATTAAATGATATTCATATATATATATATATATATATATATATATATATATCATTCAATTAATTTCTTGAAACTTTTATCTTTTTTTGTAGACAAAATCAATGAAATTATAACAAATATATATCAATACATTAACATGCTTCACTCTGATGAACCAAAAAAGTGGGTATCTGATGAAATACAGGTAAGATTTCGAATTTTCTTCGACCATTTCAAACTTTAACTAGAGAATGTTATATTGTTGAGATGTCTATCTTGTATTATTCCTCGTTTGATGAAAATTAACAGTTGTGTTGTGCCTGTGGATTATGTATAACAACACAGACATATATGCGCATCGGTTCGAGTTTACACAACTGACACGAAAATTAAACCACTTTTATCTCCTTCTGTTCCCTACCTTGATGACTTTAGATTAAAAACATCGGTTTTTGAAGATGAAGCTTTTTAATATTGAGCCATCCTAATCCATCAAAAACATATTAAGTTTATTGATTGAATATTGAAACTTAGTATTTGATATTGGCACAAATCATCGAGAATATGTATTGAAATTCTCTGAACAAAGTTTTCACTTAATAATACACTACAATAGTATTCCAACCTAATCGATATTGATTTGCTTCTCAGAAGTTGTAATTTCAGACTGCGGATCTCTTGAACAACATCAATATAATGATGAAATAATAGAAAATTTAAAGTAAAGAAACAATTTAGTGGTGAATGCAATGCAATTATTAGGGTAAAAATAAAACTATGCAACTACAGTTTTAAAGGACTAAAAGAGTATTTCTTTTTTGCATTTAGAGAATATATAAATCAGTTTTTAACTATGTTTAAATGTAAGTTAACCTATCTAGTGGACTCTTTTTATATAAATTGTTTACTTGTAGACTTTAAGGGAACTAGGCTTTCGATTAAAGAACAAAGAGACACCTTATGAATACGTGGTTAGATTATCCCACAATTTGTTGGTGAGTACTACCGAAAACACATACTTTATATTTTTAATGTCTTTGATTACCCTTGAAAACAGTATAAAACGTCCATTAACCTATTTTCTAATCCTTCAGATAAATCGACATTCAACATTACCATACCGGCTTTTAAGATTAGTTTACAGAAAAATAATGTGACTAGCATATACATAGTTGTTTCCCACTTTTCTACATTTTTTTTCCAGACTTATAAGATGCAAGATGACCTAACCAGTCCTTTTTTGGCAACTGTCTATGATCCTAATTTAATTAGGAAAATTCTAACTTGTCTTACTCCTGATAATAGTCGGTATGTTTTATTGGTTATTTTGTAGGGTTTCAATTCGCAGCGTCATGTTAATTTATAATCTATACAAATTTGAAAATGTAGTTTTGAATTTTTTGCTATTTGATGGAGGTGTAGCTTTCTCATTGTAGTGTAGATCAGCTCATAATTTCAACAAACGTTTTACAACCACGTTAATCGCCGTTAATGGTCCTTGACTGATCTCTCCAGTTTAATATATTTCCCCACCAGTTTCTTCGTTGTGCTTGTTTGCTTCAGTGTATTCAGCTTGTGCCTTGACTTTCTCCTCTTTTGTTCGACTATTGTTAATTTCTGTCCTCTTTTTCTCTCTTTCTTGGATCTTGGTCAGGGTTTCTCTGGAGGTGCTTGCCTTACGATAATGCTTCTTAATGTCCAGCACCCCCTGGTAAGTTGAAGTTAGTGTTTCTTTGATCCCTTTCCAATCGTCCTCTGTACTAGTTTCTTCTTCTTTGAGCAGATCTTATGAGACTTGGAACCTGTTCCTGGATTGGTTGAGTTTGTCATTATGTCGAAAGAAGGCTGTAATGCTGTCTCTCCAGATGTCCATTGCTTCTTTAGCTTCGGTTTCATCTTGGCGACTACTATGTGGTGATCTGCAGCTCTTTCAGCTCATTTCTTGGTTCTCGAATCTTCCATTGACCTTCTGCACTCATTAGTGGTGCAAATATGATTGATGTGGTTCTGTGCAGTGTGTTCCTGCTAGATCGATGTAGATTCATGAATGACTTCGTGGGTGAATACAACGCCACTTATAACCGTTATGTTAAGGCCTTTCTCGTCTCTTTCTACCAGTCCATGTCGTACTATATCTTCATATCCGGTGTCGTCCATTCCAATTTTGGCGTTTAGGTCTTTCATCAGGATGGTCAGGTCTTTTCCTGGACACTTCTCTACAATCTGCTGCAATCTCTCGTTAAAGTGAAGTTGATCGTCGTCGTTGCCAACATTGTTGAGTGCATAGCACTGGACACAATTCATTGTTATTCTCTCCTTCTTTGTTTTGAAGGACGCTTTGATGGTTCCGGAGCCACAAGATTCCCATCCTATAAATGCTTTACGTGCTTCTCTGGACAGTATCAACACAAATCCTTGTGTGCAAAGCATTTACATCTTCATGACCAGAGTACAGCAACAACTTTTCGGGATCTAAACTTTTCTGTCCAGCTTGGGTTCAATTATTTTTAGTCATTCTGAAAGCCTCCAAGTTTTATCTGTTCAGTTGTACAACTATTTTCCTGGTCCTCTCAGTTTCTCACATTGTTCAGATATTCCATGTACCTATACTGATTGTTGCTCTGGTTGTTAAAAGGGTCATCGGTCTTGTAATTTTCGAAGAGTATCGGGTTGCGCCCTGAGGCGTCATAATTCTTCTGAGTGATGATCCTTCAAATCAAGGAAAGACAGATTTTGAATGGTTATAATTATTTTTTCTGGTTACGGTTTTTTACAAGTCTGTTTTCTACGGAATGGGTTTGCTGACCTTAATCCCAGCCCTCCTCCTTTACCCAGATTTGAGACTGGCAGTAACTCTAGAAGGGCTGCAAGCGGATTCTTGCTCTACGCCGATTACCTCAAAATTGTTTGCTATTGTTCACATAATGTAGATACTTCTGTAAAAGATACTTAAGAAGACATTGGTCAAATGTAGATCTGGTGCAGGTTTCAGAAAAAAGAGCTGAGATCTAATTTCTTTTTTAGTTCTATACAATTATTGTCACTTTAAATATTCAGTGATCACCTATTCTTGACTCATTACGAGATTCAGGTGTAAAATAGTCCTCAGCTTTTTGTCTTTCTTAATATGTCAACTTTCTCAGTTATAAAGAGCAAAGACTCATCGGCTTTGTTATTAAGAACTTGGTAGCTTGAATATACGTGTAGAAAGATTCAAATTTAAAATATTTGGTTGCGGTTTGTCTTTTAGGAAATAGATCATAGGAGTAAAATGGAAATATTTTATGCATAAAAGTGATACTATTTTGCTGACAAAATAAAGTATATTTCCTCACTGCTTTAATATTGTGTTAACTTTGTTTTACAGCATCATTTTACTCAGTAAAACGTTTGCCGACAAATGCGTGGAGGAAGAACCGTGGTATCACACTAAATACCTTGCTATTAATATTCCTGAAAATACCTTGTCAGTAAGTCATTGTTCAAGCAAATATTGTAATCGAAAATGCTATTCTAATTAAATATCGTCTAAATTGTATTTGATAATGCGAAGCTGTTGGATGTTACTTAAGACTGATCAGTATGTATACGTGCATCTGAATTTTATAAAGGTTTTTCGGTTAAAACTGGAACTGTTTGATTGCTTGAAATCCTGTAGTCAATCGAATTGTGAGTAACAATATCCATCGGTCGTTCAGCATTAAGTAGTTATATAACCTTAGTCACGCGGTCGCGTGCCTTAACATGCGATGCTGGTTAGCATACGAGTATAATAGAAGTCTGGATACGATCAAACTAACATATGGTATCATTTCATAAAACTAAGAACTCCTAGTGTGAGACGTTATTTAGATAAGCCCTCTCATCGTACCTTACATTTGTAGACACCAGAATATGTATATCAAAATAGCTTAGAGTGGCACCGTTACGTTCATTTTTATCTTCTTTGATTCATATGTTTTTTCTTAGTCCAGATTTTATTAGTTGTAATCGAAATACATTTATTATCCGTTATTTCTACTTGTCTTCTTTACACCTCGTTAATTTTTTTTCTCCCATTACGTTGGTATAAAATAATTGATCGGGATGACAGTTGTTTTTATCAACTAAACAACAATGACGGTTAATCATAATAAGTCGACATTCATCCAAACAATTTAGTCCTCATCTCCGACAGAATCTTACTTGTTGTAAGGTCTTTTCTTTACTCTCCTTAATTTTTTAAGTTTTTGGAGGTGATTCGGTTGAATTTTATCGAGACCTTTTGTTATAACTTGTGGCCTGAGTGCCCTCTTAACGGATAACGTAATAATACCGCCAATCAGAGAGCAGTGAATTGTCGATCGGACCGAGGACGCGTAAAACACGTGCGGCAGTCTAGAGTCCTGATTGGTCCTGCATTCCGCCTAGCCCAGCCAGTTGAGTTCAGAACACCAATCCGAGCCTCTGCAATATGAATCACGTATTTATACACCAATCAAACAGACCACAACGTACCATAAAATGGAAAATAACATTTGTATAAAATCTGGCCAAATGTGGCTGTGAATATTGGAGGCAGCAATGGTAAGACGTATAATAATGGTTCATAGGTCAAAATAAAGCTTATAATAAGAGGAATATGAATCTAAATAGTTTAGTTATTCAATAATTATACGATAAAAATATACGTTAGTAATGGTCCATAAATGGATCCCAAAGTTACCATTCATTATGCTTATCGGGACCTAACACCTTTTGACTAGGACACTGGACATAAAAAAACACAAATTATCATAAAAAGTGAAATTATTGACTTTATCATCCAGAAAGGCATTTGTACACAAATCCAGCTTTGTTACTTAAAAAATCTTTTTCAGGTATAGAATGTTTTCCTTTCACTAGACTTTATGTCTAACCTTTGTGGTTTGATGTAAAAGAAAAGCCTTTCCAAACTTGTCATATATTTTGGGCAGAATAGGAATTATACAGTGATCAGATCTTAGAAGCAGAACTCATTTTTTTATCTCATATGTCCTACATAACAAGCTAAATGATTAAATACACAATTATTAAAAACTAGATTTAATGTGAAAATCAGGATGAGGAGGGACATCAAATCGTTTTCGGTGATGTAAAAGTTGAAGTTTCAACTGCATGTAATAAAGTCATCACATATATGGTTGGTATATACCAATGAGGACAGAAGTAGAAAATTCAGTGAATTCATCGACGAATAGAATTTGTGTAGATTAAGTGGATTCTTAAGTTTCATATATGTTAGTAAAGTAAATTTCATTATGTTGGTTCAAATATATCGAACTATATTTCAACATTAAACAACTGATAAAATCTTTCGAAAATCTAAAACCTCTTTTTCGGCCTTTTGATCTTATTTCTATTTCAAAGAACGAATGAATATGCTATAAGCATAAATCTTCCATTTACCTCCGTATACTACCTAGGCTTACTCCTTTTGTGTGACAACGGTAGTAAGAAGCCAAATACAGGTTGCGTTGGATAAATTTACCTCAAGCGCTCATTTAACCATACAGACATTCAGGAATAGAAGTGTGGAAGTGAAGCGAAGAAGGCGAGCAAGTCAACTCGTTTCGATAAAGCGTGACTCAATAATTATAGCCAGATAAAAATTAGCAACAGACTGTGATGAATATTGTAAGCAATACACACACGCTCATATAAGAACAGTCAAGGTTAATAAGCGATTGACTGACAAGGTCAAAATGAGACCCAAGAAGAATAAAGAAATTGATCTTTCTGGAACCAAGAATAACCCATGCGGGCTTGATATGGCATTAGACACTATAACCCACATGATTAGACTGATACTGAACATAGCAGCATAACCACACTTTTTCTATTACTGAAACGATTCTTGAAACCATGTTGTCATATCATATTATTGTGTAAGTGGTGGGACTGAAATTATGAAGTTGTGATTATACCACAATAAAAATCCGTGTTTAGCCAAAACCAAAATTAGTGTTAATTCACTTTTCTAATGAGAGGTTTGTGCTTATGTAGCTCAAGTAGCCCTCAAATTTACTATTACTAGCTTTATATGTTGTATCTTCGGAAGAAGATATGGATTTCGCTTCTTTTTCTCAATCCCTGCTCAATGTAGTATCAGGCATATGTCAATTTATTAGTCTTTAGTGTTATAATGTTCAGTACTGATACTGATACACAAGCCTCTCCAATCAAGGGTGAGAAGGAAGCTTATATTGTGTGACCGATTCGGCTTAGGTGTACACTTTACATATATTCTCTACGATATGTAAACCTTTCTTGGCCAGTCATGTGTACATTTATCTGATATCTGATTGACTTGTTACATTACTTATTCAAAACTTTCACCTTAAAACCAAGTAAATAAACTTTCTTATGCCTACTGAATTACGCTACACCACTTCTCCATTAATTTCACGCTTTGAAGATTAAAAGTTATCTGTGTGAATCCTTCATATATTTATGTTTTCTTCGGCAATTCTCGCTTTTTTTTGAGTTTTTTATTTCTAATAATTTGCTTCTTTGCCAATAGGCATGGCGAAATAGTTCTTCTAATCCAGAATTGAGATTCCCCGAGCCAAATCCATTCATTGCTACTGAATTTGATTTGGTTCAAAATAAATTCCCCACGAATGTTGAAATACCGGAATTATTAATCGAAACAGAGATGTCTCGTATTTGGTACTTTCAAGATACAGAATTCAATCTTCCCAAAGGTTTTATCAAATTTCATATTGTCAAGTTAGTTTTTTTTCTCTCTCTCTCTCATTTATATTTATAAATAGTAACCATTATTATGCTGGATAGGTGGATGTTATTTGTGTTTGCTTATTGTAACTTTTTCACGATTAAATGTTTGTTATTTCTTTGCTTACATTAACAGCCCCAAAATACCCTGGTACGGCCGAGAGTGGGGTGGGCCCGCCCTCCCCCTCGAAACGCTCTCATACGGCCACGCGTATACAGCCTCTGCCAGGGAAGTCCCACTCACTGCCTTCTCGTGACGGGGGTGTTGTTTACGAAAATTAGAGGAGGAAGAGAGAATGTCCGGCTCTTTAACCGGATCCCAAACCAATGGTGCACATGGGCTTCAGTATCCTGAAGGAACAAATGGCGTATGAACCAATCGTTGGTAACCGGCTACCATTGGACTGCATCTCCTTACGATGCTCCACTGCCTTGTGGGTCAGACGTTCAGGTCGAAGGCTCGGGGTTTGGCCCCTAAGAAAACCACCTGCTTCGGTTTGGGCTCCCTGGCAGTATCACAGCCCTCACACAATTCAATTGAGATTCGTGTGGCGCATATGTATTTGGTGCCTCCTTGTACCAATATCTATGTGTTAAGATAAGATAGTTTACATTAACAATATTAACTTATTTAGTATAATTTTCTTAATAAATTCATTTAGTTACTACCCTTTTTACCTTATTTAATGTCACATATATTACCATTATTCAAGGTAAATAATGACGTCCTCAACCATAGTTTCAGTTAATTAATATAAATTTAAACGTTTATAATATTCATACACTAATATTATTTATAACTTACTACATAACAGTACTTATAAATATTTTATAAGTAGTTGTTTATTTTTTATTTTTCATCATAGTTTGTCAACATTTTGTAGTCCTTTACATGAAACACTTTGTGCGTTCTATGTAAACTTGTTTTTGGATCAGATCTGTGAACTTAATTCCTCTAGTGTGCTTGCTGATATAACAGTTCATGTAGGATATACTAATAGAGGTATCACGGTATGTAAAATTAAGATTTAAATTATTTTGTTTTATTATAAATAATCATTGTATACATGTGTCGATATATTGTTTTGTATATAATAAACCTAAGAATAAATTGATATTTGTAGAAATAAATTTCATCATTGAATTTATTCATAACTTCTTGTTATAAACACTGAATTTTATTGTTTATTTACCTCACACCCTGACACTGTTTAGCTCCACTGATAACGGCTCACTACTGAGGGAGCGGTACTAAAACGAAACGGTCGTACAGTGCTTCCAGGATTTTAATGGTGGTCTAACTTAGATTGGTTTATGATTTTGATGTAAATCAACAATCTCCACAACCCCATACTGACGATTATTTATTTAGTATATTGTGCTATTTAATAGGGACTCTAGATGTACACCCATTAGTTAAAATTTGAATTTTTAGTTCCTGAGATTTATACGTGAAAATTGTTGTTCTCAAATGTAGATTGACTAAAAAAATTCACATTTTACTTGTCAAAATTTTCAGATCGTGCAAATGATTCTTTCTCACCGATAAATGGAATTTAATCAATATTGGATATTTGAAGCATCTATTTAGACTGTTATCAGCTTGCATGTTTATTGTTTCATATTTGTCTAGATCAGTATTAAACGGAAATTGGACAATTATTATATTAAACTGTAAAACAGTGAAAATGTTGCTAGTTAGGCGCTGAAAATCAGTAGCTGTTTTCCTGAACAGATTCCAATAGGACCGTTTGTGTGCTAAATCTAAGGAAATAAGCATAATTAATTTCTTCAGTTTGTTAGGATGACAAAATACTTTTAATTTTTAACACCGTATTCTGGAATTTTTCCATATACATTACTGTTTTGCTAAGAGAATGCCAAGTTATATAGTCTCTTATCACTTTTTCCCAGATTTACAATAAACCTCATGAGCTGTAGTTTGGCTTCATCATTCAAATATCTTAGTTTCATACTACGACTGGAGATATTTATTAAATTAAATTCACCAATAGTATTAAAATGCATCTTCGAGAATATTATCACTCTTTAATGATTATCTGTTTCTAATTTCCAGCTTTTGTTTTCAGGATTTACTCATAAATTGAAACCTTTTGTTCATGAAATAATAACACAACTTGTCGATTATTGTGAACCAAAAACTGATCGTTTTGAATGCATCCGTGAGAAAATTTCTCAAAATATTACCAATTTTGCAGTGAAACCAACTTACCATCAGGCCTGTACATATTTAACAAATATTACTTTACATCATTCTTGGACTAATGATGATTTTATTCAAGCTCTAAAAGGTAAGTACTTGTTCTTGCTTTTTGAGTGATTTTTCATTTGAATCAGTTGCGCACAACTTAATTCTTAGTACTGGTGTTCAGCTACCCAAGTTACCACATCTCATGTTAGCTGGAGCTTTGAGATAATCTTGATGCTTGTTGCAATTGAACGAATATAATTACATATATTATTAATTTTGTTAAGAAAATTGTTGGTTTGTTGGTATTATGAACTGAAAATTGTTATTAGCATCCCTGTTTTGTTGAATAGGAATGTTTCATAAAAAGATTTGCCCGAATTATTTTGTCGCTATAAATAATTACAATAATTTCTGTGAACGTCATTCACTAATCTTCTCGAATTACGATATTTTAAGCTCTCTACCATTTAAAAAATCTCAAAGAACTTAACCGATAATTGGTACACTTACTGATCTCGAACTGTATTTGCACAGTTTATCAAAACAAACAAACCTTATGTTCCCATTAGATATAGTCAAAATTAATCTTCTGGTTGGCAGTCAGCGAAAAAAGTTAATGCTGAATTATTAATAGCAAAACAATTTATTTGTAATATAATAAATAAAAAAATTGATTTGAAGTTCACTTTTCCAACTGATTTGCAATTTTCTGTGCCTAACTTTTGTATTGTTTACTTCGTTGTTCCGCAACACAACAGTTCTTTAAAGACTCCTATGCTTAAATAATAGTTGTTTAAGAACTTCTGCTTTTAAATTCCGTATTTCGTAGCCATAAATTAAAATATAACAAACTTCTGTACAGTATGCTCGTCCTCCGTTTAATTAATAGACGTTTTGCCTGCACTAAAGGTAAGGTATGTTGTCGAAAACCATGCAAGCCTCTTAAATCCATGACAAGATTTACTTAGACAATAACCTACTGAGATTGATTAGACTTCTAACATAAGTGAACTAGTAAACTCATCCAGTTTCTCTATCCTCTTTCATGAGTTCAGGCGGTTGCATAGATCAGTCATCAAACAATGTTTTGGATTAAGATGAGGAGAAGAATATCAAAAACCTGCTTATATTGTGTTTCAAGACGATCACAAGACAGAAACTCATTATTGTCTTTGCAAACCAAGTCTATATCATCTGTATATTCTAAGTCAATAATTAAACCTGTTCGATCTATCCCTGAAAATTCGGATAAAGGCGTTAATTTCCAAAAAAATGTCTATAACAGTGAAATAAAAAGAGGGATACGAATTACTCTAATGTTTGAACACGATAACGTGTCCATAAAAATCTGGGAGAATCCAGACATCTTACTTACCTATGCTCAGATCCCAGATCAAGTTCAAATGGTAGATGAGAGACGCGTGCACGCCATTGGTCGAAGTCCGACTTAACTATCTGGGCAATATATCCTTTGATTCAGTTCGCCAAGACAGCTTTCTCTTCACATTTAATCTTCTCAATCATATGAAATTTTGGGCTCACATGTACGTGGCAGTGTATGTATTCGCATCAGAATTGGGTGACCACTCCACTTAACGGCTTCATATTCCAACTATTACTATTCTTTGTAATAGAAATTGCTATATTCAGAGGTTTTTTTTTCACTAAGAGGACTCTTGAAGCTTATCCAATTTAAATTTCTTTAACTTCTTATACTATCATATTAATCTCAATTTCCGACATTCAGTTGTGTACGACATATCTTTTCTTACTTTCAATTACGAATATATTTTCTTCATGTTTTAATATCTAGCCTTTATTCATTTTATTCCATAAATCTACTTATTTTTGAAGTTACGACCGAATTATTTTTAACACCAGCTTTCTTTTTCTAGAAAGTTGTTTGTTTATACTTGACGAATTCTCTGTATAATTTCTACATGAATTAACATACAAATGTCCAGCTGTATCAACATTTCTCTTGTGATTCATTCATATTTATTATTTTTTCCGATAGTATAAGATCAAAAAAGAAAATTTATTCACTAGTGCTTAGTAATTAGTACTATTATTTCTGTATTATAGCTCCAGTTAAAGAGAATCTACGAAATGTATGATTTCATATTGTTTCTCTATGATTATTGTTCTTGATTAAGTAAAATTTCTGAGAGGAAAATTTAGGTATAAAACATAAGTTCTGTTCATTGTCTCACTTTGAAATTGATTGAATATTCTACATAAAAAAGAATAATTTCACTGAAGAGTTCTCTTTTCGGCGAATTCATTTTCAAAGCTGTACAATCGTGTATATATATATATATATATATATATATATATATATATATATGCTTATTTTTACAGGATGATAGTAATATTGATAATAAACTTCTGTTAGACATGGTGACAGTGAGGTTAAATAAACAAAGGTATTAAAAAATTTTTTAAAACAAAGAAAGTATAACAGTCGTTTGATTGATGGGGAAATTATCATTGGGAAAGGATGGCTCAGCATGATGAGATAAAATGTTGAAATTGTTGTTGCGAAGAATGTTCTTTTTAAGGAATCAGAAATTCTCCTCTTCAAGATATGTGTGGATCTGTTACCCTTGAAGTCGATGTTCATGTATGTAGTTTTCTTTTCTACTGTAATTATTTGTGTTTTCGGAGTTTTCGGCTTTATGTTCTTATCAATGAATATCGAAGGATACCTGTTTTTGATAAGTATCTCCTTTAACAGGCCCAATTCTTCATCTATGAATTCGGGACTACAGATTTATCATATACTTGTAGCAAGTGTTATTATTAAGTTTCTTTTTCGACTGACGGGAACCCAGCTGTGGAAACTTGATAGTTGACCATTCCATATAGGTTTCCTGTAGATAGATCTTCTTAGAGTACCATCGTGCTATCTTGTCATTTCCACATCAAGAAAGTGAATATTTTGTTTGTTTTCAACTTCAAGTGTGAATCTTATTTATGGGTGACAATTATTAAATATCTTTAGGAGATGACTGAAGTCATATTTGTTGTCACAAATGATAAAGATATCATCTACGTACCTTTTGTACAAGCGGAGGTTTCCTATAATAGTTTTGAGTTGGTTGTTTTCTAAACTGGCCATGAAGCAATCTGCTAGTAATGGACCAAGTGGAGATCCCATTGCTATGCCATATATATATATATGCGATTGTACAGCTTTGAAAATGAATTCGCCGAAAAGAGAGCTCTTCGCTGAACTAATCTTTCTTATTCAATGTGTTAATGGGTGTATTCCGTTTACTAATGAATTATTTACAACATCAACTTATAAATGTTTATAATCAGAGAAGGGTTTTGTAGATATTATAGTAATTTAATAGTTGAATTCATGAGTTAATTGGAGTTAGACCACCATGAAAAACCTAAAGGTACTGGACGGCCGTTTCATCCTAATATGAGACTTCTCAGCAGTGTGCATCTACCATCCCGACTCGCGAGATACAACTATCCTAATTCATCATTAAGGAATAATTACTGCCATATTATTTGTTACTCGTGATTGACTGAAATGTTTCGGATTAATTTTTTATAAATTTTGTTTAAAAAAGTGATTTTTTTGTTGGATTACGTAATAATCGATGTTTGTTTAATAAAGGCATGTATGTTGTGTACATAAATATTCAAAGCAATCATGTTTTGATTTGCATATTGAAATACAAACTGTTTTATGATTCGGTAATAAATTTTAAAGGTTACTTAATGTTCACTGTAAAAGTCGTTACTGAAATTACTCCATTGAGTTTCGATTGAAATTCTTAAAGTGATTCGATGACTTATTCATTTTTCATCCTAGATATTACCTACGAAAAGTTGGTTAATTATATCAAAGAGTTTTATGAACGCATTTTTATCGAAGGCCTTATATATGGCAATATCACCGAAGAGGTAAACATACAGTGATGTGGTTAATATCCTTTTTTGGGTTAATTCAATAATGAGAATATGACTAGAATTTCTTTGTAGAAATTTAAAATGTTAAAATCATTTATAGTTATTGATACACGAATATTATAAATTGCGTACAGTAATATACAAACATTATGAATAGGCTTTTCATTTCAACTTGTATAATTAGTTCATAAGATTGAGAAAGAGACGAGTAGGTGACAGAACAATTAAAAACAGTGAAAAAATCCCATAAGTAACCGTTAATTACTGTCATTATAGAGTTCAGCACAAGTATTTATCAGCCCATCTCGTATTAGTCACGATGAAGTGAAACCAAAAAGAAGGTTTTCAAAGATGTTATTAACCCTAATAAACATAATAACCAAAAAGACCAAATAGAAATTGATGCCAGTGCACTAATTATATATATATATCACCAAAATTAACGTAGACACGTATTTGAAACCGTTAAATTTCCTAAGCGTTAATTTCACATTATCTATTTAAGCAACACAAGCACCTACAGACCTTTGAACGATTCTCTGTCTTTTCATGATGTGTGGTTTAGATCATATTTCACTCCTAGATTTACTTATTACCAACCTACTTAATTGAGTTTGCTGTCACGATATCCATTCACTGAATGATTAACAATTTGTATATTGACCATTGATTAACATTTTTATTCCATAGTTTGGTTTGTTTTCTGTATCAAATGGAAAATAACTTAGATAAATTTGTTGATTATTTTTGTATATCATGTTTTTCAACTAGTCATATCGATATTTCAAATTTCTATCTACAGGATGCAATAAATTATCACGAAATGATTCGAAATCTGTTAATACGGAAATTCGATTCTAAACCATTTTTCCTATCTCACATCGCAACACCTCGAGAAGTTATAATTCCTGAAGGTAAACACCTTTGTCCATCAGTTTTTTTCAGAAATATCGTTGATAAATTATATATATATATATATATATATATATATATATATATATATATATATATATATATATATATATATATATATATATATATATATATATATATATATATATATATATATATATATATAGGTTATAAGTCGTTCACTCGGCCAAATCTTGGCAGACATCTTTATGGTAAACCTAGAACAAACTGTCATGAAATCAGCGATTAATATCACAACGTTTCATGTCAGGTAAGTGAGAGGAGGCGGAATTGGCCGTAGTTGAATGTTGTTTACGTGAGAACACTTATTCTCAAAAAGTCATAAACAAATATATAAAGACTATAAAAAATAAAAGTGAATATCCTACGGTTGAGAAAAAGCCTGTCTTTCTAAAATTTGGTTTCGGAAGGGATAAAATAATTGGGAGGATTGACTTTAAACTAAAGGACATATTTAGCGGCCAAGTTGATGTCTCTATAGCAAACCAAATGCTCGTTGTGACAGTCAAATATGGACAGATACCCACCTAGTGTCACCTCCAATTGCGTTTACCAGTTTGCATGTACGTGACAAAGTACATACATTGGCAGAACAGAAGGAAGAACCTGTGTCCACATCTCCGAATATAATCCACAAACGTTGAGGCTAAACGAAAGATTTTAAACAGCTCAATCGCTTGTCATCTATTTGACAGTGTACATGATGTTGGGGTTTCGAAATCTTTCAGAATGATTAATAAACAAAGGGATTCAATATTGTTACGCTTTGCCGAAGCTGTTACAATAAAAAGATTTAAACGCAATTTATATATCTAGAACGAAACAGTTATCAGTCTTTTCTAGCCCTGTTGACCTTATTTTTGTGAGAATATTAAGTAAGACCTTTTTCTATAAACTTCGAATAATTCGTACTTCTGAGTTCTACTTAACTAGTCTAAAGGTTAAGCTCTCGCACACGAGACTGATAGGTCCTGAGCTCGAATCTCGAGTAGGCGGGATCGTGGATGCTTACTGCTGAGGAGTTTCATTTTAGGATGAAACGGCCATCCAATGCTTTGAGGTTTTCCATGGTGGTTTAGCTTTAATTGACTCAAGAATTCATCTATTAAATTAGTCTATACAAAATAATCTGTCTTCGGTTTCGTAAATAAAATTTCTATTCCCATACTCCTATAAAATATTCATATAATTAACGAGTTTCAATAGTATGATTGTTTCCTAATATTATTCTATCTCCATATTGAGTAAATTCATTCCATATTTAAAGTATATACACTTGTTTCATTCTAATGATTAATGCCACGGTTTTAAGGTATGAGCAGCTCAGTATAATCCACAAAAGAAATGAATTCATGTTATTTTACCACAATGTTTCTTCTTTCTTTCTTCAGTTTTATAAATCAAAAAATTTGTATGAAATATGTGTATATTGTATTATAAAGTGAACGTCGGCAGAGAACTAGGTGACTTTTTTAAAAATTTTATGTTTTGTTATTCTGTTCAATTTGAGCAGATAATGAATAGATACAGTAATCATAAAGATTAGAATTTTAAACTGTTGTAATTTTCAACTTTGTGACTTAAACAATCTTGTTGTCATACAAATTCAGGTCATTCCATTGATCTGAATTCTGATTCTTTAAATTTTAATGACTAAATTGATATTATCTTACAATGTGTTTATGTTTACTGCAATCTGTTACTGAATATTATCTGAGTGTACCGTACGTTTAAATTGAGTCATGTTAAAGTGCGTAGAATACCTTCACGCAATTATCATAATCAGTATATAGTTACCGTAGGGTAGTACCGCTTGGAGTTGGTTTCAGTGGAGCAGTTACATTTAGTCTTATCCTTTTATTAAATAAAAATAACTTTATACATTTTTTCTCGAATCATATTGTATGTCCTTAATGTTTACTACTATCACTTATACTGTTATTACTTCTACTACTTGATAATTCTTTCTTGGTTTACTGATGTAGTGTGTTAGTTTAATCTTCTGCATATATGTGTCAGGTTCTACTTTGCATAAAAACCGACTGACAAGACGAAAATAAGTTATTTTTATCCGAATCGTGTACATGATTTATTATGTTGACTATTCTTATTCTAATCGTTTTCCTTATTTTATTTAGATTCCAGTTTTCTTTATCGACGATATATTTCTGGTCAACCAGCTTCTGCGATTTACTATTACCTTCAATGTGGTGAGCAGTCTACGCTTAACAATACATTACTTCATCTGTTTTATCAGATTGTAAGAGGACCCATTTTCGATCAATTACATACGAAACAACAATTGGGTGAGGAATTATTATTGAGTATAGAACATAGTAACTATAAATACTACTGAATTATAAGAGACTCATTGACGATATCTTAAGATATGAGTTTAAATGGTTTGAATTATTTTTTCTGGTTGGCGTTTTTTAGCGAGTTAGTTTTCTACGGGATAGGGTCAATAACCCCGTCCCCAACCCTCCTCCTTTTTCCAAGCTTGGGACCGGCAGTAACCCTTGAGGGGCTCCAGGCTCCATCATAAAAGTCAAGAGCGGCAAAGCAGAGGGACGAGACAACATTCCAGCAGATGCACTGAAACCAGATGTAGCCGTAACTGCAAAGATAATCAGCGATCTCTTCTGCAAGATTTGGGATGAAAAATAAGTACCAACAGACTGGAAAGAAGGACACATGATCAAGATACCAAAGAAAGGCGATCTCAGCAAGAGTAATAACTACAGAGGCATCACTCTTCTCCCGATACCAGGAAAAGTCTTCAACAGGGTGTTGTTAAACACAATGAAGGACCCCATAGGCACCCAACTTCGAGATCAACAGCCTGGATCCCGTAAGGATTGATTGTATACCGACCAAATCGCAACACTACGGATCATTGTAGAACAATCAATTGAATGGAATCCACCACTCCATTATCAACTTCGTTGACTATGAGAAAGTATTTGATAGCGTGAATAGGACAACATTATGGAGGCTTCTTCGACACTACAGCGGACCTGAGAAGATAGTCAATATCATACGGAATTCCTATGATGGATTAAACTGCAAAATCATGCATGGAGGACAGTTGACAAAGTCGTTCGAAGTAAGGACCGGTGTTAGTCAAAGTTACTTACTCTCACCCTTTCTCTTTCTCTTGGTGATCAACTGGATCATAAGACGTCAACATCTGAGGGGAAAAAGCATGGGATACAGTGAACTGCTAGGATGCAGCTGGACGATCTAGACTTCACAGACGATCTGGATTTTCTCTCGCACACGTGACAACATATGCAGGAGAAGACGACCAGTGTAGCAGCAGCCTCAGCAGCAGTAGTTATCAACATACACAAAAGGAAAAGCAAGATTCTACGATACGACATAGCATGCACCAATCGAATCACACTTGATGGAGAGTCTCTGAAGGATGTAAAAACCTTCACATTTCTGGGCAGCATCATTGATGACCACGGTGGATCTGATGCAGATGTGAAGATTTGGATCGGCAAAGCAAGAGCAGCATGTCTATAATTGAGGATCATCTGGAACTTAAAACAACTGTCAACCAACATCAAATCGGAATTTTCAATACGAACGTCAAGATAGTTCTTCTATACGGAGCTGAAACTTTGAGAACTACTACAACTGTCATCAAGAAGGTACAAGTATTTATAAATGGTTGTCTACGCGAGATACTCAACATCCATTGGCCAGATATTATCAGCAACAGCCTACTGTGGGAAAGAACAAGTCAGATCCCAGCGGAGAAAGAAATCAGGGTAAAGCGCTGGAAGTGGATAGGACACACATTAAGGAAAGCGCCTAGTTGCGTCACAAGGCAAGCCCTCACTTGGAATCCTCGACATAAAAGGAGGAAAGAAAGACCAAAGAACACATTACGTCGATAAATGGAGACAGACATGGAAAGAATGAACAACGATTGGATAGAACTAGAAAAGAAGGCTCAGAATAGATTGAGTTGAAGAATGCTAGTCGGTGGCCTATGCTCCCTGCGGGGTCACAGGCGTAAGTAAGTAAGATATGAGTAATTCTCAGTTACCTTAGCTATCAAATAACTAATACGAATATGTGTCTTTGGCGGCTAGTTCGTACATTTTATTGGCATTTTAATCTTGTAGTGTGACACAAAAGGCTAAGTTACAAATATCTCGACAAAGTCCATGCTGCGTCCAGTCATTTAAACTAGTGACCACAGTGCAAAGTGATCGATAGAATTCGTTCAATACTAAAAATAACTTAATCACTAATCCTTGATCTATTAATTATCAGCTAACTGTCCACCAGTAAAGGAATACTTGGGTATGGTGAATAAACTATGGAATAATTTAGTTTTACGAACTCTTAAATTTAAGGTTAATTTGCCGTCAGCCGAACTCTGACCTCATGTTTCAGTATTATTCTATGCTCTTTCAGATTCAGTGGTTTTTTTGTGATCTTCTTGTGTTTATAGTCCTGTAATAAGTCATATGATCAGTCACCTCTTTAGTACTTCCTGTTTTTAAGTGGTTCACCATTTGGTTTTACATCGCAATCAAGGTTAAATTTTAATATGGACAGAAGGTGAAGATGTATATCCCATTCTTATGTTTTACAACAGGATTGTCTTTGTGTTACCGGGTAACTTTTTGCACCGTTAGTCCCTGACTTTATTTATCCATAGGTAATCATACGATTTTGCATATTGAACTATTTATTTGTATTACGTATCTGTCCCATATTTATGTAGTAGTACTGTAGTGAATGAAAACTTGGTGGGGATGACCAATTCACTGTTTTATGCAAAATAAAACAATAAATTTTAAAGTATGAAAATCGTATATTAAATACATTCTACTTCCAATTCCTGCTACATACTACCTACATCCGTCCGCATATGTAGTGCACACCACCGACTGCCACGACGTGCGATGTTTTATGGTGTAGGAGTAGGCTGAAAGCTTGGGGCGGCCAGACCAAAACATGGCACAAATGCATTAAGTCACCGGCAAGTGGACTGAGCCATGTTGGTAGGTGTAGACAACCTGGTTGGAATCAGCGAGATAATAGAAACTGATGGTTAGAGACGTTGAATGACATGGTTCAAAATCGTTTGCAATGGCGTAGGTGCATCCACTCTTGATGTTCTCCCGAATTCTAATCTTCCGAATTCTTCATGTCCTTTTTTTCTCTTTCTGAATTTATTTCACTGGATTATACTCCTTGAATAACATCTTCAAACCCTAATGTTTCTGATTACTGCTTATAATTTTACTACCTCTACCACTATGGGATTTGAATCGACAACTGCATCTGTGTGCTAATGTGGTATGTCAACTTGAACTGATGTACGTACGTCCGACGTTCTACGTTGTTACTGTCTGACTGACCGCAGCACTAAAATTACTATCAAATTAGAATATATGCAGATTTACTTACGAAGATACAGTTAGTATAGATTAGATAAAAATGTTGGCTTAGATCCGAAGAATTTACAAAGGTTATTTCCAAAAAATTTAGCATCTAATGCGTCAACCTAGAAGATGGATTTCTGGGTTATCTATCTACTTTTAATTTTAATAGATGTTAGGGTTTACTTTTGTGTAATATCATTCTATTAATTGATTAAAATTAGGTTTGGAACTTCGTTCCGATTTAATTGTGATTATCGTTAAATGTTTAACAAAAATTATTTCGATTACAGCCAATACCAGCATTTCTGCTTTCATGGATGACATCTTCTTGCCACAATCCTTAACAAGGACAACTTTAAAAAAAAACTGTCTTTTTGTAAAATAATGTTTATGATTCCCTTGGTAAATACTTTAATGGGGTTTTTCTTGCAGCTTATAATAAGAATGAATTGGTTGAATCATTTAAGACTTCATAAAGTTTACTCATTATCATTGTGTGTGGAACGATTGTAGTAACTTTTTCAATAAGATTTAATTCACCGGTTATTTATATGTACGTATACAAAGGACATATGTAGTCTCTCATCTTATCATGATCCTTATAATTAATTCTTCATACTTTGTAAATAAGTTGTGAATACGTTTTTCTAGTTTATTTTCAAAGTAGATTTTGTTATCACTTTCGATTTTTTTCATATTTATTCCTCACCTTTCTTGTATTCATCAAATGGAAAGTTATCTTTTATATATTTTGGCTTCATTTCATCGTTTTCTAGCATATAATTCATTACGTGACATTCTTTTCACACCTGAAATTATCGAAACATTTTTTAAAGAATCCTCTTTCAATATTTCAACAGACTAGTTTATGTCGTGTGTCACTGTAATTACGATTGTAAATACTGAGTAAACGATATCACTGTTTGCTTAGTTTAGCACAATTAAATCTGATCGGTCGTGAGGACAGGTCAGTTTTTTTACTTTTGTTTTTACTGCTCATTTTACACATCGGATCTGAACAGTTTATTAAATTATAGTTTACTTTTCCAATATTTTTGATTATTGTGAACTTGAAATCGGCAAGACATCATTTTTAAAAACAGTTGATGCTTCTTTTTTACCCACCAGATGAAGAAAATGTGTTTAATGCATTACAAGATGATAGGCGGATAACCTCAGCTGATAAGCATTACTAAGGCTAATTAGGATGATCTTGATATCCTATGTATCTGAATCGCCAGTTGCTACGTACTTCATATCATGTGACACTTAATCTGAATTAGTAATCTGCTACGATTGGGTTCAACTGTAATTATTTCAATCTTACTAGTAGCTATCTTAATGACTCGATACAGTTACCTTCCATGCAAAAACTGATTGTTTTTCAAAACTTTCCTTCCCAAGACCTAATGACAAGGCAAGGATAAAGCAGCCGATCGTATTTCTATACCTGAAACTCGAAAATCCATACTATTAAGTAATTTGATACCTGGACTGCAAATCATCATAAATAAATTATAATGTATGCAAAGATAGAGCACTTATGATACAGCATTGACATAACAGCTTTATGATTCATTTTCAGTAATTTGCCAATCGAAAGTATTACGATAACAGTTAATCAGATAAATAATAGTTTATATTCAAGGAGATAAAAAATAAACGAACTAAGTGTTAGCAACTGACTATTAACACATAAGAGCACTCCAAGTGTATTTCATCATTTTATAAAAGAAAAATTATACAACTTTCATGTTTCACATGCGCTTCGCTTATGTTACATTTTATTAACCTAAAACTAACCATTCTATTGACATTGTATTCTCTTGTTTTTTCATGTTCAAATTAAAGGTTATATTGTACAGGCTGGACTCCGACGATCCAACAAACTACAAGGTTTTCGTATTTTAGTGCAATCATCTTATCATCCTAATAAAATTGATAAATGTATCGAAGAATTTCTACTTACTGTAAATGTGAGTGTTACTGATTGTTTTCCTTTCATCAAACTGTATACTTAATGGATTGTGGTCTGTTCTGTTCCGTCCTGTTATTTATGCTCCCATACAATATATACGTCTCCAATATGATAGCTTGTACTTACGTACAGACTCCTTGATACTTGCTACTCACTTTTCCTTACATATTGTTATTTTAGAAACTGTTAGAAAATATGTCTGACGAAGAATTTAATGTTCATGTGCAGTCTCTGTTGACACATTTACTGGAAAAACCCAAAGGTATGCAAGATCGATTTGGACGTTTATGGTCTGAAATTGCTTGTCGACATTATAATTTTAAACGAAGTAAGTTTATTAATTTTTAATGTACACATATGTAGATCTAAACAACAATCTTGCTGAATGCGTTTTTCATTAGTATTGACATTGATATTGACTCAACAATACAATTCTAATGGCTAAACATAGATATTATATGATAGGGTTATTAATATCCGTGATACAACTAACAAAATTACCGTCATATAGTGAACAAATATTTGAACATATGAAGTTTGTCAAAACTGGAAGAAAAGATACCTCTTCAGTTGATTTACACTGATTTTCTATAAGTACAAAGTAATTTTAGAAATTATTGATTGACTAAGTTTGTTTATTTTTCACAAGTTTTGACCTCTTTCATAAGTTGAAATATTTGTTCTGCATAATGAGATTGTAGATCACTTATATATTCCATTAATAATATTATATATATATATACTTATTAAATTATGGATTGGGATAGATTTTGATTTTGATCCAGTAAAAAATAGTTTTGTTCACTTATATATTTTGATCTAATTTACGCCAAGATGTTAATATATTGAACATTTAAAAGTTTCAAAATGATGAAAACAATTCTCTAAATAAATTGTAAATATTTTATATTAATTTCTTGACTTTATTCTCAGATGTACATGCAGTTAGTGTACTGAAATCACTCAAAAAGAATAACATTATCAATTTCTTTAAAGTATGTATAATTCAACAAGAAAATTTTATTCACTAATACATGCTCATTGTAAATTTGATCTGTTTCATCTGACTATTTATAATGAGAAATAACATTTATTTTATGAAAATGATTTTAAAAGAGTATATATCTTAATAAATTTATTCCCGGTTGTCATTTTTCTTGTTTTATTGAAATTTCTGATCATATTTACGCTTAAATAAATATCAACTGAATTATCAGAAGGGGTTTTTGAATGCCAGCTCAGTGGTCTAATGGTTAAGCGCTCGCGCGCGAGACTGATAGGTCCTGAATTCAAATCTCACGAGGGGCGGGACCGTGGATTGCCCACTGCTGAGGAATCTCATACTAGGAAGAAACGGCCATCCAGTGCTTCCAGGTTTTTCATGGTGGTCTAACTTCAATTGACTCATGATTTCAACTATTGAAATCAAATAAATTGATTGAATGTTATTGGATTAACATAAACTTAGTTTATTTTATCGAGTTCATATCATCTAGTAAACAAATAAATAGTCTGGTGATTTGATAATTCAATAGTAATTTAATAGTTGAGATTATAATTAAATTGAAGCTAGACAACCATGGAAAACCTGGAAGTACTGGACGTCCGTTTCGTCCTATTGTGATACTCTTCTGCAATGTGTATCCACGATCCCGCCTCGTGAGATTCGAACTCATGATCTCAAATACTAAACTACCATAATATCCACAAAACGCCTTCTGATATTAATTTAATAGTACTTAAATCTTAATTACAGATTTAAAAGTTCAAATTTTGTTCCAATACGCTTTGTTTTACACTGTCCCATATTATTACTAAATTAAAAGTGGATAGGACTGTTTAGTTTATGAAATAATAGAAGATATATGTCTATGTATCTTGACTGATTTATTAATCTTTAGAGTATTTCTTATTTACTGAAATATAATTGATTGAAAGTTTCATCGTAACTCATTCATGATTTAATTCTGAATATAGAACTATATTGATCCTTCATCATGTACAAGAAGAAAATTAGTAGTTCAAATAATATCGAGTGAGAAATATCTACGTGATTCAGAATTTAATAATCATAGCAAGAAGGTCAGTAAAATGCAAATTATATATATTTCCCTGTTTGAGACTATTATGCATTTGAGATATTTCAGTTTTATTTTTTATCAAGTATAGTTTTTATGAAATTCATTATTAATGAGCTTTCGATTGTTTGTCTTTTAGACTATTTGGGATGCACGCCTCACTTATAAATAACGTAGAATCTGGCACAAATTTGAATTTCCTTAGATTCCCAAATTTTATCAAGATAGCCAGAATTAATTAACAGGACAATAATCTCGTTAGTCAAAGTAAACGTATCATTAATAGTACAAAACATCTTCAAAAAAACAATGTTGGGTCTCTAGACGTAATAGGTAGCTTTGATGATGGCTTCCTTGAATAAGAAGCCCGGAACATGTGTTATATACACTAACCGGTTAGCTTTCGGAGACGATAGACCATGTTGTTATAATCCTAATAACATTGTTCTCTACTAATTTTTAGCATATATTGTACTAGCTTCGAGAACATGAGCACCATATAGTCCATAGGTACGCTTGTTTGTTGTATATAGACTGATTTTCAAAGTAGGCCTCTTTTCATTCTTCCCGTCGTTTGTTTTCTGTTAAAACTTCAAATGTAGTAGATAGAAAGCGTATAAGAAGTCAATACCCAATCGATCGAACACATGATGTACCAAGAAAGTAAAGAATGGAACCATATACGTAATCACAACTGATTCAGTGGATCACATAAGCCGTGAAATAAAAGGATACTGCAAAATACTAAACGTTCTAATCGATAGTTGATGTCGTCGTATAAACAGGGATATTAAATCATTCAGTTCGTGCGGCTAGTTTTCCAGAGCTACTAATCGGGCAAGTGATTAGTGGTGGCCTTACAGCCAGATTATCCAGTGATATCTTGTTCGTTTTGACTGCAACGGTAAAATGATGCATCCTACATGGTCACTATTGATTGATTCATAATTGTGTAGCTACATATTACTCATATGTATTACCGAATCACATCACTATTTTCCTGGTTAATTCAGTTGATTGATATATAGATTAAAGCGAATCTCCAATGCTTTTTACTTTGATTTAGGTAGTCGTCTTAAAAAATCATGCGGAATTGAAACGTTACTGTCAGTTGAGTTCTTTAACGAAACCATTCATGATGTTCACTTCCAAATATGAAGGAATTTCACTACGATTTTAATCCGGTTATCTGGATTGCAGATTTAGAAATATTCACTTCTTGTGATTGTTAAAACATGTTATTTTTCATGCACTAAACGCTTTTGTTTTTTTAATCTGTCTTTAATTCCCTCTTGGAGAGATTTGACAATAAGTATGTTTTATTGATCTCGCATTCATAAGACAGAAAATATTTAGTTATGTATATGCTTTTCTACTACTTTGTGGTGCAGCTATTCATTTAACTGTTTTTTATACTTTTCCTTATGAATTAACTCCTGATTATTTCTGAATACATTGGTACCTCATCTCTGTAAAGTAACTGAAATTCTCCATAGTGATTTTCAATCATTTCAGTATATCATGATCTAAGATATTCTTTAAATACATGTATGAAATCACTATCTATTATTATATATTCGTTGACATGTGATAACAAATGTATAATAGGAAAAACTTCCGTTTCATTTCTATATAAAAATTTGTTCTTCTTTTAACCTCTGAATCAATAAAAAGTTGTAACTTAATACCGTATATTTCAATGTTTTAAACTCTCGTCTTTGAGAAAAATAGACTTTTAATGTTAATGTGAGTGTTTACGTATGTCACTTTACTTAGGCGAAAAGAGATGTATATAATGACTCTTTTTCATCGACTTTCGGCATACCTGTATATTTTTGCGTTCAAAGTCTAAAGATTTACATTTTGGGAAGTGTAGAATAGGATAGATGTTACAGAAGGTAGTATATATTTATTGCTGGTTCAGTGTTTCAGAAGTAAGTGTACTTGCTGAAAACATAAGGCTTTTACTATTTTTTATTTGGATCTACAAAGGGAACTTATCACCACACAATCTTACAAGCATAAATTTATATCTTCGTGCTTTGTATATTCACAGAACAACGTACATCGCGGTAATGAGTAATTAGGAACACAGTTTTGTGTCTCAACGTAGTATGTCGAAGCAAGCATTATTTAAGAATGAGAAATAGGTGTTCCATTAACTTATAAAAGTGGAATCTATCCCACAATTTATCAATGCACTGAGTTCTAAAATGAAAATAGTAAGTGCTATACAGACTTATAACTAGAACAACAATCTAACCTGATTAGTAGTAGCTATCAAAGAGAATAACAGATTGAAAGCTTTCAACTATTCACTAGTATAATTGATTTGTACTGCTACAGAGGTCATAAAATCCCAACAAAAATGCTTGGACGGTTTGACTTTGCATATAGACTAGCACACTATGCATTTAGCTAGCTATTGTAGAGTAAACGGCATAGTTAGTTTAAGAACAATCTGAGTTTCAGGCGCTCTGGCTTGCAGCAGTTAAGTAGACTGGTGCTGGAACTTTAAGCTGATAAAACCAGCATCAATTTCGAATGGCTAATTAGCCATATATTTGGGGGACAGTCAGTTAATGCTTAAATCATACAAGATAAGCGTCGAATTTAAGAGTCCTCACACATACGTGGCAATATTTAGAGTGTATATTTCACCTCATGACTTGAAGCTGTTTGAAACTTTACTGCTAATTTCTCCAAGAGAAGCTTTTATACCTATTAAGGTCAGTTGTTCTTTCAAACGCTACTGTTCAGAAATGGAGTTATTTGCACCTTGGGATCTGCATCTCAAAGACAGTAGAGAGTTCTGGGTTTTAGTTACTCAGTAAACAGTTATTTAAACTGAAGAGAAGAAGGACAAGTGTAAAAGTGAGCCAAAGACCCAGTAAGCCCATAGCATAAAGCAATCGATAATAATAGGCAATAACACAAGCAGAGAACAAGATGACTTGATAATGTGAACAACGAGCTGATAGCGTAAGATTCCAAGTGCTTTTTACACAACACTAAGGGCAAGCGAAGTACGATGTACTGCTACTTAGAAGAAAAAATCCTCCATTCAACAGAGAAAAATAGGAAATGTAGAGAAGACGGTCTGACGAAGCGTCCACTTCTAAGCACTGAAATCTATAGACTCCATGTAATTTTTCTAGTCATTTCTGACTGACTGCGGGTTTGGCAATAAATACAGAATTTTGTGATGGAAAATTGTGCAAAGTTTGGGTGATTACCAAAAACTCTGATGGTTGGAGTGCACTAGATAGTTAAGAGCAGAGCTGGTCAACAGTCGTGCAGCAGGACTGTTCTCAACGATTGTTTGTTAAACCGCAGTATCACTGAGTCATTTACACCTAAAAATTCTGAATACAAACAAAATATTCAGACTGGTGGGTTCATAAGGACATTTCCTCACTGTCACATTTGAGTAATGAAGTTCGGCAGGTTTGACCTGCTTCAGCATCGCTCAAAAACGTTGTTAATAATGAAATTTCACAAGCAGCTCCTATGTAAGTAGTTAAAGGCAAAATAGGTTTGTTAACTGAAAATGTGCTCTTCAATTTTACGTTAAGGAATGATATGTTTAATGGCTCCTTAACTTACTGCAAATGGATCGTATTAATGCTTGTTATTGAAATATATATCGAGTTAATACGCGTTTGTGAATCACGGAATTAAATAAGTCAAACACGAATATGTATATTTGAATACATATATTTTGTATACACATTCATCTACAGACACAATCAGAGAAACGAAGAGGGCTGTAAGGCCAGCGAAATTCCACTGAGCCGTAGCCAAATCATCCGGCAGTTTGGTCATTGAATATCGAACAAATTATCAATCCTCGTCGAGGTCAAGGACAACCAACGCGCATGAGTTAATCGTACGCCATGGACTGGCCCATGCGGCAGTGGTCTTACCTTCGCTTGTATCTTCTTTAACTAATATATTTCTGTAATAACGTCCTCTGTGTTGTACAGTCTTCAAAGCATCTATAGTACCTTGATACGTCAATGAGATAGTCTATGTATGGTGCTGATCACGAGGTGTGACTTCGCCACATTAGCTAGTTCGTCACACCATTCCCGTCTAACTCGAGTAAGCCTCCAATCATTTCGACATAGATCATCTACGTTGGTGATCTACAGGGCGGATCGAAGGTATGTGAGCCAACTCAGTTTATTCAAGCATTAATCCATATTTATAATCACTCTAAAATAAGTTACAGACATGTAATAAATTGGAAAAGAAATACACACACATACGCTCATATAAAAACAGTCAGGGTTGATAAGCGAATAATTACCAAGGTCGAAACGTGACTCAAGAAGAATTGATAAATGGCCTGTCCAGATGTTTAACATAGTAACTTACACTACATATGCACAAGAATTGCAATATACACCTTGTTAGACTACAACCAATATTCTTGTGTGTCGCATATATTTTTTACCCTATAACTAAAGAGTAACCTCACGAGACCGTTGAACGTCTGTAAGTAGTCACTCATGACAGTGAGACACACACCCATCTGGTTAGCTGTGTCAGCAGCAGTATCACAGATTCAGTTATGACTGTACATCAGGCCACCAAAGCATCCATTAGTATCGCAGTAGACTCATTCGACTTGGCAACCTGAGTAATCTTACCACAGTGAGTAAAAACACCTGACAATCCTGGCCAGTCTCAAGATGAATATGAGGCATAAAATCGAGGTATAGTACTTTCGGTAAAGAACACCTACCTATCAGTGGTGTTTTACGGCATTCTCAAAGCTCTGTGCAAATTCAATCTGTTCACCGCCCGTAAACCTCTCAATAATTCTGTTGACTCATCTTCAAACAAGTTCTCGACACGGCAGTCTCGACAACTGAACAACAACTCGCAGTTTGCTTCAAATATTCAACGCATTTCAGAAGAAAAAACGTAGTGGCAGATGCATTGTCTCGTGTATCTTCCTTGAACAGATGTCGACCTCCTTGAACTCAGTCAGCTTCAAAAGCAAGACACTGATTGTCAGCATAGGGTAACCCCCAACAACAATGAAACTACACATCGAACAGATGGCGACAGGTTATGAAATTTTTCTATGCGGTATGTCTACCAATAAAGGTAGTTCGATCATGGAAAAATATTGTAGATGCCATGTCTTCGATTCGTCGCTCCATCTTTCTGTTCCAGGTATTCTAAGGCAACGCTTCAGGGGTATCGTCCACTGATGAAGGTTGCGAGCTCTTAAAGGTCGAACTGTCTCAAGATGATTGGTGCGTCACATCGACAATTCGTGAAGTTCTTCAGAGGCGGTCAAATCATGACATTTTTAGATTTGAATTGAGTACATCCACACCGTGTCTGATAACGTCCATCCTTCAAGTAACGAAGATTATGCCATCGTGATGATGCATGATATAGGACGAATCTTCAATGATATCATGTTATCTCGGAGATTTACCAGTTGGGACAATTTTGAGACCTGTTTGAAAGAAGTACATAAGGTAATATGATTTCTGTGGCTAATGATTATTCTTGTAGTATACGCATGCTAGGTACGTTATGTCAGTATGTAAAAGGAACAATGATGACCCAACTCTAAAGTATTTTTCCGTGAGATACGTCTGTACATATGGACGTAAACGCGGTTCGTCAGAGTCAGATACTTGCGTTCAAGATGCAGGTGATGATAGTGATCATCATCCTTCCGAAGAGCATACAACTTCTAACTCACCCCCACAACCTAGACAAAGAAGACGATGTATGCTTTGCTTCAAATTAATTTATCCTTCAGGTCAAAATATTGCCATTGTCAATCTACATTTTGGGTCCGTGCAGTAAATGGTGAGCTGAAAGTCACCTCTATCAAGACCGTACACAACCATCCTTGCACAGAAGGATGTATTTCTGTAGATCCTTCAAGACGAAAGTTGACGTCAAGTGAACGTCTATATTTATAAACGTTTCTAATGAGTAAAACTCCGACTCGTAGTTTACGGCATCTGGTTTCTTGGAAGTTCCATAAACAGCTTGCCAAGGACGATATCTCTAAAATGCGTTCACAGTTGTACCCAGGTTGTTGAACTCACATTGTAATTAATTGAGCTTAGACACTAAAAATATCAATAAATTTTTTCAGTGCGTTCAAGCAAACACTGAAGTTAAAGTACTCAGTGAACATGGGAACATATCTATGATTTGCTTCAGTCGCAGGGAGCAAGTAGCTGTTTACCACGCGTTACCAGAGGTAATATGTATGGACTCGACTTATCAGACCAACAAAGTTGGGTAAGTAACGAATAGCAATTATTTATCTTACAGTTTTCCACTGTTCCAGCTAGTGGTGACTGATAGTCTTGGGCAACGGCACACTGTTATGTATACTCTTTGCAGACAAGAACGACTCGAAGATGTCGTGAAGCTAATGGAATGCTTTAAAAATATAATGTGCGGTACTAATGATAC